ATAAATATGATAAAAATATTAAGCACATAAATCAAACTCTTGAAGAACCAATTGGAATGTTTTTCTTACTCACCCTTGGCGGATGTCATATCCTTTTAGATTTGTTGCGGCAGTTAGCGCAGTCCTCCATCTTTGCAACTTCCGCATTCCTTCAACATCATCGACTTTACACCTTGACTCATGTTTGTCAAAGGCTTCAGCATAACTCTCCTTTTGGTATCGAACTGCTGATGGATCCACATCATAGAAGATTGGTATTACCAAGGTTTGTCGTCCAAATTGATTAGTGTTGCATTCCATGATCTTCACTAGTTCATCCAAGCACCACCTGGATGAAGCATAATTCTTCGAGAAAATGATGATGGCAACTTGAGACTCTTCAATAGCTTTACATAGTTCTTCTGAGATCGATGTGCCATGCTCTAGCCTTTTACCATCTTGAAAGGTGAATATTCCCCTGTTTTTCAAACCTTCGTACAAGTGACTTGTAAATGTTTTGCGGGTGTCTTCACCTCTAAAACTTAGAAATACATCGTAATTCCATCGAGGAAACTGCGAAGCTTTATCAGAAGAAGAAGAAGATGATGCCACGGATTTAGTTAATTTGTTGAAAAGAAAAAATAAGAGTTGTGTGGATAGATTGTAGTTGTGGTAAGAGATCAATTGATGATATTTCAGACAAAGTCATATACAGGAGAAAAGAAATAAACAAGTACCATTTCAAATATGAAAGCTTCTATGAAGATGGGTTCTACTCCAGTTGACACAGATTTATTGCTATTGGATCTAGTCAACTCATATAACATATATATCAAAATTTGACACCTCAATTAGGAATAATACCTATTGAACACTAATAAATATCAAAAAATGCATCTATTGAACACAAAATGCTGATATTGAAAAAAAAAGTGTTTCCCCTTCCCAATAATAATCTTTTTTCTTTTTTTGGTTAAAAAAACTCACATTTTTGCTTAACCATCTTCTCCATTTCACCGTCTGTAACCTCCAGTCCGTCAAACAGCCGCCGAACGACCACCACTTCACTGAATATAGAACAACTCTAATGACCTTCAACTCTGCTGCCTTCCTCCATTGGTCAACCACAGAGCCACCATCTGTTAAATCCAATAGAGAGCCCTTGATTCCATAGCCGCCGAGTCATCACCAAAATTCCACGGCCCAACAAACCTTTAATTATTCTGACCTTGAAAACCCTTAATATTGCAAGGGACCGACTGAACAAGAAACAGAACAATACTATTCTTTAGCTAAAGGATTTCATCATTCAGTGTAACGATATGCTGCCATGGCGGATTTGCAGAAAATGAGAAGGAAGAAGGGAGTACAAAAGGAGGGAGAGAAAAGTAGCTAAACGGAGTAAAAACGAGTCAATGTATAATAAAGGGAAATCTATACCATTATCATCAACTAGAAACCTTTTCTTTTCGGCCTCAACTTATTTATACTAAAATTTATTTAACATTATATGCTCAATTAAATCCGACCCCATCAAGGGCTAATGGGTCTCACCCAATTCCCTTTTATTTTATCGGATCCCTTTTATTTTAAACTAAATTAAACACATTCATTAATTAACCCGACTCCCATTCATTCTTTCCTTTCATACTCTACCAAAAATACGATCCAAACCAAATTCTCAAATCTCACCTCTTCGATTCCTTCCATAAAATCACTCCAATCATATTTTTTCTTTATTCTATTGCAAAATCGGCTCTAATATAATGCAAAAAAGTATGTAATCTTTATTTTTATGCAATTTTCGTCTTCAATTTCAGTAGGGCATTACAATCTAGGGTTTAATTTGATATTGTGGTGTTACAATCAAGATCAGCGCAGAACCATTAGCTATTTGTTCGTCACAATCCAAGACTAAAGGTTAGTTCTTTACCGTCTTTAATTGATATTTTTGGTAGTTTAGGGTTTTGTAAAAAAATCGGTCATTGTACAAAATTATAAGATTTTGATTTTGAAACTTGAGGGGTTTGCATGTCGATTTTAATACTAAAGTTTTGATTTTGCGTGTTTACACTGATGTGTTCTTGGTTGTAAGTAAATAAATAGTTTTTTAGTGTTGCCCTATTTTCGGCACAATAATTTTATTGTTGGGGATTTGTCTGAATTTATTGTTATTGTTTATTTGCATTCACGTATGAGTGTGTTTATATTTGTGACTTTGAGATTGTTTCATGGTGGGGTCTTAGAGATTAAAAGTGGGGAACCAAGACATGTGGGTGAGTAATGACTGAATATGTGAATGTTGATGTGGATACTATATCTTATTTTGAGTTGATGGACTATATTAAAGAATTAGGTACAACAGTAATTGCACATTTAGTGTTAGGACACCTAACTGTGGCATTATAGAAAATATAAACAATGACATGGAGCTTTCAAGAATTGCACAGTTCTTGTAAAATGGAGCTATTTTGGAAGTATATGTCCAGCACATGGGTGTAGAGGAATCTCGTTCAGCCTTTTATAAAGGGAATGGGACCATTGAAGCAAATGCTAGTCAAAATATTGGGGTTGGTGAGGAGGCTTTAAGTGGTGCAGTAGCAACTTCACCTGCACCTACTGATCCAGCAGCTCCTCTAGCAGATCAAGATCCAAATTCATCCTCAACTGAGGAGGAATCTGATAACTCAATTGAATATAGTTCAAGTTATGAAGACAGTAATTTTTTTGTTGATGATGTAGAGGATTATGGCAATGATACATGAAGAGTTCATAGAATTTAGGGTTGAGAGAAAGTGTTTCCATAGAAGAAAAAGAAAAGAAAGAGCTCTTGCTGACCCTGATAATGTTCCATGCGGTGCAACTGGATCAGATTTGGGGTTTGATGAAACTGAAACAGGTAAAAAAGTATAGAAGGTAGGATAGGGAGTGATAAACCATATTACCCAAGTTCCGATGCTTGTAGCTTTGAAATAGATTAAGATGAATATTGGGTTGAAGATGGGGAAGAAGTTAGGGTAAATCTACTAAGAAGAAAATATTCTTCTACCAAGAAGGTGGTTTATGATCCCACAGCTAAACAAGTTGTGTGGCAGCTGGGTATGTGAATGAGCCAACAAGAGTCAGGGTGAGGTGTAAGGATAGTTATTCATGGTTGTTGTATGAAAGCCTTGACACTTCAAGTAATAATTTTGTATTTAGGACTTATAATCCAGTTCACAAGTGTAATAGGGCCACCAGAAATTACCTGTGCAATTCTAAATACCTGGCTAAAGTGTTTAAAGATAAAATAGTTTAACAACCAAATATAAGAGTGTTCAAGTTACAAGAGTTAATTAGGAAGAAATATAAAGTGCATGTTGGCAAGACCACAATTAGGAGAGCAAGAGCCAAAGTATTGACAGAAATTATAGGTGACCATATTCTTGAGTTTGGAAGAATTCTTGATTACATAGATGAATTGTTAAGGACCAATCCTGAGAGTACATGCGTGGTGAAACTTGGTGAAGCTGATGAATCTGGTAATGCAGTATTTCAAAGTTTCCACATCTGTTTTGGTGCATTGAAGAATGCATTCATGGGGTGCAGGAAATGCATAAGTTTAGATGGTTGTTTCTTGAAGGGAGTTAGTATAGGGCAGTTATTAGTTACTGTAGCTAAGGATGCCAACAACCAAATGCTTCTACTTGCTTGGGCAGTAGTGATTATGAGAACAAAAATAACTGGACATGGTTTGTGTCTTTGCTTAAAGATGATTTGGGATTAGGAGATGGCAGGGGTTTCACCTTGATTACAGACATGCAAAAGGTATATCATTCCAGCCTTTTTGATATTCTTTTTTGTGTTTTCATGTTTGATTACTAACCAATTTCTTTTTCTGTAAGGACTTCTAGCAGCAATTCAAGATATTATATGATATTGGGCATATTTCGATATGTGTTGATATTACTTTACCCATATTTTAACCGCTTTTTGATGCTATTTGATCTTTAAAATGCCCAACATGGTTTAATTATTGGTTTTATGACTAATTAAGTTGTGTGTGATAATTTAGGGTATTTGGAGTGCAAAAATATGAAGAAAAGGTGCTCTAGCTAGAGGAAGAGGGGTTGGATGCGTCGCATCCAATCTAGAAAAAAATCATTTTTCGTGCACCCTTAGCAGTGAAGTCGGCCCATAGCTTCCGCCTTAGCATCCGCACCTGGGCAAAGCTGAGATGGAGGAATAAAGGGTGGATGCGAAGCATCCACCCTAGCATGCGAAGCTGAGAAGTGGAGGACGAGGTGGATGCGACGCATCCACCTTAGCATCAATCCCTGAAGCTGATTTGGATTAGAAATAGGAGAACTTTGGCCCACGACTTTTGTACGCAATATATAAGCCAAAAACGCCTCTTTTAGGTCATCTAATAGATTGGGAAGAGGGAAAAAGCCACGACAAAGCTGGGGAACCACGGAATTCATCTTGAGTTCTTATTTTTTCTTCTTTTATTGATTCTTATGCACTCTTGTGAATTATTTGATGATTGCATGAACATGAGTGGCTAAGAACCCTATTATTCTAGGGTCATGGGCGATACATGAATGTTGAGGTTTGAAGTTTAATTTGACAAAGTAGATTTTATCATATTGGGTTGTTTATTTAATTCTATTTTTAATTAATTTACTGAGTAGTTAACAGTGAATTACTATCTACGAATCTAGAGTTGAACTCGAAAGTGAAAATTCTAGATTGCATATAGAATTAAATAGAGCAAGTTCTTGAACCAGGACATCGGGGAACGGATTCGCAATTAGGATAGAAATATACCTAATTGTCTTGCTCGGTTGAAATACAGGAAGTGTAAATGCATTCTTGTTAATCTTAATTCCATAGACATATAGGCATTAAGTTAGCTTGAATAGGCGAGTAAGAACTCGACAGATTCTTATGAGTAATATCAAC